CTCTTCCTCCACCTTAATCCTCTGATTCCAGAATTGCCGTCATTTCCTCCTGCCAGGGAAACCCATTAAAAACTGCAGCCACACTGCAAATTCATAATGTAAAACAAGATGTAAAGCAGGTTTTGGGAAAACAATCTACCTTTGTTTACTCTTTCCAAGCTGGAAGAGTCCTTCTCCTCTAGTTGCCCCTAGGTCACTGGCTAATTTCTTATTTTAAAATTTAGATGGAACTCATATATAGTTAAGTGTACAAATCTTAGCCATGCAGATGGGTAATAGCGATCTGCCCATGTCCCTGCCTCTAAGATACAGACATACACTGTTTTCAGCACCCCAGAAGGTTCCCACATGCCCATGGCGCCATTTTGTGCAAGGTATTTAGAAGGCCCTTCAAATTTGTGGCTTCCTTTCTCATACTTCTCAGGTATAATAAAAAGGGGAGAAAAACCTCACCCACAAAACAAGGCTATAAAGATCGTGTACTTTTTAAAGAGTCAATTTGTAGTCAGCTCCTGGGCCTCTCTCTCTCTTTTTTTTTTTTTTAAATTTGGAAGCTACCTGAGGTTTAGAATTCCTTCAGCCCTAGCTGGTTTTATTCTCGGTAAACAAAAAGAGGGGGAGGATTTGAAGGAAACTAGTTTTCTGTACAAAGGCTTTGAGGTCCATGGACTATACTTGTCCCATTTATCATCCCAAGTGGTGCTTTGACCCTGCCATACCCTGGCTGTTAAGATAAAAAGATTTGTGGACATTAAAATTATGAATATGCCAGTAATAATCCAGCACACATTGAAATATTGACACAGATTACCATAATTTGTGCAACATCTTATAAACAATGTCATTTCCATAGTAGTCTCAGGTTTCACCAGCCTGGCCCACTGTATCTAGACTTTAGGTTCATTTTAATAATTATGCTTTCCTTTTCTGTATCATTTGGGAAGTTGATAAATATCACTTCCTTAGATACCTTTATTCAATGATATGTCTGGATTTTACAATTAAATTGGAAAAGGTAAGTTTCTGTTTGGGTGGGTTGAGAGTTGGACTATCAATTCTAATCTACAAAAGGAAATTCATGATTTCACTCTGACACCTAGGATCTAGCCAAGGTTAGTCTGCAGTATCAGATGGTCAAACTCATCTACTATTAGCCGTATTTTGTGAGTTGTTCATCTAAACTTTGTCAAAATGCCTTTGCCATGATTTTGTTGCTATCTGGGTTTCAAACACGGACAGTTAGGAAGATGTGCATTGAAGTAGGAAAATTTTGTTCAGATTTGCTGTTATTTATTTTTTAAATTAAAAATGGAAATGTATTTTAAAGTTTATTGTGTGTTTAGTTTGTTATTGCCCTTATGTTAATGAAATCATTCCTGAACTTTGCAGTTTTTCCTTACCCACGCCTCTTTCATGACACATCACACCTAGCATTTTTCTGGCTTGTTTCCTTACAGGTCCTATTAGGTTAAACCTGCACTGTGGGGCCCTGGAGTCATCTTTGCCCAGAAATAAGAAAAATTACAAACCACTTGGTTATTTTCACCCTTCTGTCTTTTTTTTTTTTTTTTCTATCTGGGCTGACAATTTTCTGATAGCAATTCATTTAATGTACGTAGGTTCTGTTTCTTTACCCATTCCCCACAGATATTTAGACAGGTAAAGAAAGAAATAAAAAGGTTAAAGGGGGTATCTAATAACTTACATGAAAAGGATAGGAACTGGTTCTAAAATGGTTGAATGTTTATATCACCTGGGGAGAGGCCACTCCCAGACCAATTACATCAGAATTTCTAAGGGTGGGGAGTAAGATCCAGGCATCCACATTTCTTTAAAGTCCCTCCCATGTTATTCCAATGCTAGACCAAGGTTGGAAAACCACCACATAAAGGAAATAAGACTTTAGGAAATTGGTATTTAAAGTGTGTTTCATAAAATCCCTGCTGGTGGTGGGTCAAGTTGGAGAGAGGAAAGGGGCAGTCAGGCTTGTATTAGTTAGCACCACTGTTTAGTCCTGAGCTTACAACTTACAATTTTTAACCCCCAAGAAAGTGTTCTGTCCAGGAGCTGTGGCTCAAGCCTGTAATCTCAGCACTTTGGGAGGCCAAGGCAGGAGGATTGCCTAAGCCCAGGAGGTAGAGGCAACAGTAAGCCCTGATCATGCCGTGTACTCCAGCCTGGGTGACAGAGTAAGACCCTGACCCTGATTCCACAAAAAAATTTTAAAAATTAGCCAGGCACAGTGCTGCGTGCCTATAGTCTCAGCTACTTGGGAGGCTGAGGTAGGAGGATTGCTTGAGCCCGGGAAGTCAAGGCTCTACAAAAAATAAAAACAAATTAGCTGGGCATGGTGGTGCGTGCCTGTAGTCCCAGCTGCTTGGGAGGCTGAGGTGGGAGAATCACTTGAGCCCAGGAGGTCAAGGCTGCAGTGAGCTGTAATTATGCCACTGCACTCCAGCCTGGGTGACAAAGTGAAACCCTATCTCAAAAAAAAAGAAAAAAAAAGTGTTCTAGTACTTTGTTTTTTAGAAGCAATAATGCTTCACTGTGTTCATATGATTTATAAGAATCATGCTTCTTGAAAACAGCACAGAATTTGGGCCCTAAATACTAAATTGACAGATCTGGGTAATCTTTTGGCTCTAAGATCCCCATTGAGAAATACTATAAAGTGTCTTCCTCTGTCAAGATCTAAGTGCTATTATCTTATGCAGTGATTCTTGGCTTTTTTCTAGTCATCTGTAAGCTACTGCAACTTCTAAAAGTTTTGCTAAAATGATATATTTTCGAACCATTCTTTTTACTACTTGATCATTTAAAGCCATATGCATTTGAGAACTCATCTCATTAAATGATATGTTTCCCTACCCTTTATTATAAAAGGCTTAGGATTTTTTTTTTTTTCTTAAAGCTACATTGATGAGTTAGAGTCTTCAGATTCAGGGAAGTGTTTATGATTTTATAAGGAGGCCATTTTCATTTCGAAATGGGGTCTCACTCTGTTGCCCAGGCTAAAGTCAGTGTTGCAGTCATGGCTCACTGCAGCCTCGAAATGGGCTCAAGCGATCCTTATGCCTCAGCCTCCTCAGTAACTGGAACTGGTGTGAGCCACCATGCTTAGCTTCCAACTGGCCATTTTCACTCTCCTCCTTCTCCTTAGTTATTTGGGCCATTTGAGAATCAAGGGTACCTCCTGAAAGCCTCTAACATCAGCATCAGGCAGTTGGATGACATCTTTTTATCCCATTCAAGGGAGGCCTGCAGCTGGCCCTAAAGAAACTGTCCCAAAGACAAACTTTGGCTAAGGAAATCTGACGCTTCAAGCAGGATGTGTAAGTTAAGTGGGTGTGTTGCTTTTTGTTAATGTGTTAAGTAATGTGAAGATTGTAAAGTATACTGTTTTCATTAAAATATATATATATATATATAGTCACTGGGTAATTGGCTAATGGAAGCCTCTCATCTTGCTCACATGTATTGATTAGTGAAATAGTGCAGTTTTGCTTTTGTTTCATAAAGCAGATTGTGGATCACATCATTGCCTAATTTTATTAAAGACAGAGTGAAGAAATTATTTGATTCCACTTTAGAGATTCTTCCAATGGAGGTATTTGGGAAATCTGTCATTGTGCAGTAGCAAATACTTGTATTAAAAAGAGGCGGTTTTCCCCCACGGGATGTTTCTCACCCCTTTCAGATTTCTTAGCATAAGTCTTTCCTTTTTTGAGGGAGCAGGGTAGGGGGTAGGGAGGCGAGTTCATTTGATTAAAAGAGGAAAAGGGCTTAGATCTTTGACAGGTCCGTTTGTTACTGACACGTTGGGCAAGTTATCTGAAATTTGTTTTTTTTCCAACGGTCTCATAGCCACTTGGAAGTTATGCGGCTAAATGAGAACATCAGTGTCATAGTGCCTGGGGCCTTACGGAGGATTAGTCATTGCTAAATCTACATTGACCTATGAACCCTAGTTTCCTGTTTCAGCTCCAATGGACAAAATAACCCAGCATCCAAAGTCCAGTTCTGTTGGCTGCTCATCATAGGGCAATACTGGAACAGTGAACATGGAACCAAACATGGCTGGGTCTCCTAAACTCTCTGAGCCCCCGTTTCCTCATTTTAAAGCAAAGCCAATACTAACTACAATCCAAGGTTCTTACGATGGTTAGTAAAAATATCTGTGCACATATCTAGCACAAAGCCTGCTCCTGGTCTTTTTGGAGAAAGAATGGTGGCAATGCTATCTGACCAGGGGACATGGGAACAAGAGTCCCGTCTCCAACAGTCTGTGTACTCCACTGTGTTTCTTAAAATCAAACAGATCAAGCAGAAGAACACTCTTACTATTTTTAGGTCTCAGTCCCAACCCTCAGTGTACACCACGTGGACAGATTGCGTGGGACCAGAAGGAGCACTGGACTAGGAGCCCTTGGAGGCCCCCTCCTCCTCACCTCCAGGTCTCACTTGGGTTCCACTAAACTTTCAAAGGGTTTGGAGACAGTCAAGGGAGGGAACTTCTTTCCAAGTGGGAGAAAGCCTTGGCTGTGGCCCCACCTCAACTTCTGTAGAGTATAGTCAAAGATAAAGTTATAATCCCATAGAAACTGGAGCTGAATCAGCTTTTTCTGGCTGGACTAGTAGTGTGGCTATTCTGCTTGTGGGCAGATGCAGGGTAGGGGTGCTGGAGAGCCTGAGATCCCTGCTGTCAACAACAGACACTTTATCTCATCTGCCCTCCCATCTGCCACCTGTATACACACCTGGAGGGCTCCCTTTTTTGGGCTTACAGTACCCCTTCCCCGGGAGTTCTGAATTGGAGAAAGATTTAACCAGGTATGCCACTTCACTCACAACACAGCACTTTATTATGGAGTATGTGCAACTTGGTGTAAGGATTTCTGAAATTCACACAATTTACAGGTATTTAATGGGTTATAAATTTTCAATGTCAGAATTATACTCAAGCCATGTTAGTAATGGTCACTCCTTCTGGCCCAATAGATTTAAATCTTCTTCTGCCCAGTTTCCTCTTCAATCAGACTTTCCTGAAAAATATATAACAAATATATCAAGACTGACTTTACCAGCTGAATTTCATTACATTTTTGACATTTTAGTTTCTAAAATATCAGTCTAGAAGGAATTGGTCTGTTTGATTTTGTACTCCAGTTAGCGCTAGAGAGACATGATAAATTGGGTTTGTTGTTTTTTTGTTTGAGACAGAACCTCACTCTGTCACCCAGGCTGGAGTGCAGTAGTATGATCTCAGCTCATGGCAACCTCCACCTTCCGGCGTCAAATGATTCTTGTGCCTCAGCCTCTCTAGTAGTTGGGATTGCAGGCATGCATCACCACATCTGGCTAATTTTTATATTTTTAGTAGAGACAGTTTTGCTGTGTTGGCCAGGCTGGTCTTGAACTCCTGACCTCAAGTGATCCACTTACCTCGGCTTCCCAAAGTGCTGGGATTACAGGCATGAGCCACTGTGCCTGGCCGATTGGGTCTTTTTAAGCTACTTAATATACATAAAATCTACATTAGTAGTTTAAGAGTGAGTTGTGAGGAAGGAAGTGAAAAAAGTCTGGTTATTTACTTTGCTATTAAACCAGTCTTTGCTTCAGTTTCTTCATAATGTCATGTTTGGCAAATTTCACTGCTTGCCAGTTTTGTAATGCAGTAAGCAAAATTAGAAAAAGAAAGGAAATAGTCCGGGCGTGGTGGCTCACGCCTGTAATCCCAGCACTTTGGGAGGCCAAGGTGGGCAAATCATAAGGTTAAGAGATCGAGACCATCCTGGCCAACATGGTGAAATCCCATCTCTACTAAAAATACAAAAATTAGCTGGGTGTGGTGGCACATGACTGTAATCTCAGCTACTCGGGAGGCCGAGTCAGGAGAATCACTTGAACCCAGGAGACGGAGGTTGCATTGAGCTGGGATTGCACCTCACTCTGGCCTGGCAACAGAGTGAGACTCCGTCTCAAAACAAAAAAAAAAAGAAAGTAAAAGAAAGGAAGTAACGATGTCTGCCCACTTTTTTCTTTGTCCGTGGGTATATTAAGTTGAAGTCACTGTAGACAAAATTATAGCTTATTTTTATATATGATTTATTTGGGCTTACCTAGCTCCTAGGCATAACTGATAATTAACTGTAATGCCTTCTGATTGCCACAAATAAGTGGACAATAGAGATCAGAGAATATCCACATCAAATCCAAGATTCAACTTAAGTCAGGCAGAGTGGCTCACACCTTTAATCCCAGCACTTTGGGAGGATCATTTGAGGCTGGGATTTCGAGACCACCCTGGGCAACACAGACCCTGTCTCTACAAAACATTAAAAAATAAAATCAGCTAGGTGTGGTGGCAAGGGCTTATAGTCCCAGCTACTAGGGAGGCTAATCTAGTCTCAAGAATTGCTTGAGCCTGGGAGGTTGAGGCTGTGGTGAGCATTGATTGCACCACTGTACTGTAGCCCAGGCAACAGAGCAAGATCCTGTCTCAACAAATATTTTTTTAAAAGGATTCAACTGATACATTCAATTCTCTTTATACTTTTTCATCAAAAACCTAATAAGATTAGTGTATTTCCACTTTGGGGGGTGGAATTTGGAGGTGGTTATAGTCCTATCAGGAAATTGGAAATCAAATCCATCACTCTCTAAATTATAAATTTAGTAGTTTGATAATTTTCATTCCAAAGGAGAAAAAAAACCCATCTAGAGTAGTGTTTCTCATGTGTATATTCCCCAGGGTTCTGGAAAACCATGTAAGATAAAGTGCAGTTGCAGGATCAGGTGGAGGGCTGTGGAGGAGCCTAGAGAGGAGTAGTCTAGGGGGTTTGGTGATTTTACTTGAACTGAAATGCAGCAGTGGGAAGAAATTTGCTTTGTTGGTTATCCCAAAAGCTAGAGCCAGGATTAACAGATAAAAGTTACAGAGAGATTTCAATTCAACTTCAGAAACAAACAAACAAAAAAACGTTTCAGCCCCTAGTGCTGTCTAACCACTGACTGGGATTGTCATGAAACACAGTCCTACCACAGGAGGTAACACAGGAGTCAGGAACGTAAGCCCCGCGGTGGCTGGGAGGTGGCTGTCCTGAGTGATTCCCAAAGGCCTATCCACCTCTAGAGCTCTATGTTATGATCACGTTATGATCACTTTAACTTACCAGAGCTCCTTTCAGGTCTTGGAGGGGAGAACGTGGCTGGTGCATGGTGCATTCGAAGTGTTGGGTTTCTGCCAGTTGACCAACCTCTTTGACTATCTGAAGAAAGAGAATGTGATTCTTTGAGATGGAGATAAAGAAATGAAATGGTGTTTTCCATTTCCACCAAAAAATCGTGGAGAGTGGGGTCAAGGGGCATGTGGGGCTGAGGGGGACTGGGAAGGTTGCAGGATTAGCATAGGGACTTTAAGGACACAGGACATTTCTACAGAATGGCATGGGGATCTGGAAATCATGGAGACAGAAGATATCATATTTTCCCCTTAAAGATGACAAGAGGGAGGCGTTTTGAGCCTCCTGAGAGTCAGTATACCCCAAAAAACAAACCCCAAGAGTTTTTTATAGTTGTAAAAAGGATTGGTTTTTATTTTCTAGGTTTTACTAAATATGTCATAGTTAAATGAGATTTGCTTCATGTATAACCTGCAGATAAGAGGCTTCAGATTCCGGGTCTTCTTTAATATTAAATTATCTTTATTATTTCTCAGAAAAGAGATAATTCTTTCCAATGATAATGAAACGATTTTAAATTTTTCCCTTTCTCAGCCCTAGGTTATTTTTCGGGTTAATCAGCTAACATAGATGGCTTCTTTCCTCACATGACCCTGATGAGTAGTCGTATTTTATAAATAAAAATCCTCCCAGCACTTTGGGAGGCCAAGGTGGGAGGATCCCTTGAGCCCAGGAGTTTGAGACCAGCCTGGGCAACATAGGGAAGCCCCATCTCTATAAAAAATTTTAAAAATTAGTTGGGTGTGATAATGCATGCCTGTGGTCCCAGCTATGCAGAAGGCTGAGGTGGGAGGATCACTTGAGCCCAAGAGGTCAAGGGTGCAGTGAGCTGTGATTGTGCCACTAAACTCCAGCCTAGATAACACAGTGAGACCCTGTCTTAGAAAATAAGCCCAGAAAACAAAAAAGCAAGTACCTCACGTTAGCGTTGGTGCCAGTTCTATCATCTAATCTTTATGAAATTAAATCAGCATGTTTTCTACTACGTTATTTTATCATCTTGAGTTTGCTAATTCCTGTATTCTACCAGTCTCCAACTTTGCTTAAATGCCCCTATCAGTGAAAAGAAATGATAGGGCATACATCGTTGATAAGGATACTCATTTATAAATTATAAAAATGTAGTGATCTAATATCACAGATACTTTTAAAAGATGAAATGAGGAGAAACACATACAAAGTTCTAACGTTTTCTTTCCAAATCCCAAAGAATCATCTTCTGATACAGACCTTGACCCTATCACATTGTTTCTAATTCCTTTAGCAATCCCAAACACTCAGAATGTGACGTGCTATCTCACACTTGTTGCTATTAATATATTCTTTTGGAATTTTTCCAGCTCTTTGTTTAGCCCCTGTCTGAACCGAAAGTAGGAATGGGACTTCTATTTTGTCAGTGCCTTATCTCAGCTGGAGTATCTAGGGTACAACATCATAGAATATTGCCATTGGGGCTCATCCTGAATGTTTAATATAGTTAAATTGAATCAAATTGCTATGTCTTATTTTGAAGCTGAGAGAAACTTACCTCTTGGAAAGAATCCATCAAATTTTCGGCATCTCTCTTTCCTCCAGGACGCAGTCCATAGGACCAGTGCTGGCTGGAGCAGCCCTCCACACACAGAGTCAGCAGAATAAGGCCAGCTAGGAGTTTTGGAATTGGCTCCATTCTAAGGCACATGAATGCACAATCAAATTAGACGCAGCAAGGTTGAGTAGAAACTAAAAGACCTCTTTTGTGAAAAAGCTAGCATCTATATCACTAACCCTGCAGAAGACAGAAGTCAGAGTCACAGTTTTTATACACAGACACTGAAACTCAGAGACACCTGCTGGCTTGCCTTGAGTTTCTTAGCCACTGGGGACAAAATGAGTACTTAAGCTCACATGTTCAGGATCTTTTTAGTACTAAAACAGTCTATACTTTTATTTTTATTGTTTGGTTATCCAAACCCCGTAATTCATCCCTTATCAAGTTCACCATTTTGCCGTAACATTTCCCCCGTGATTGGTCTTCAACTCTTTCATTCCTGAGATAAAGAGAACTGAGCCATCTGTTAAGGAAAGTAGCTCCTACTAGAAATCTCTGGCTAATATAAAATTGGTTGACATTAAATGGCTACCCCATGGTACTAATGACATTTTTCTATTTATCCTTCAGTCTTCCTAGCGTTACTGCTGGCTGGACCATCTGTGGCTCAGGACTCAACACTGTTCAAAGTAGTTAGTCCCCGACCAAATGCCTTCCTAGCCAAGGGGGCCTCTAATTTTCTAATGAAATGTGTCTCCAAGTTAATTTTCATTTGATGGGAAAGAGGCTAAAGACTAAATCAAACACTGGTCAATAAGCTGTGTGATTCCCCAAAGCCTGGATCTCTATGGCTGGTGCTGGCAAGGACAGTGAAGAACAGAACATCATTAGATACCGTCACACCTGGATTTAGCCCTTAGGCTGTCAAATGCCCTGTAGACATACAATAGCATGCAATCTAAAAAAGAAAAACTCGTGCTAGAAATAATACAAAGCCTTTTACCTGTTTAGAGGCAGACAGCCAAAAAGATCCCAAGCTTCCCTTGAAGTAGGTTGAGTATTGTGACTTTTCTGTTTTCCTATCTTCCTTTTTATAGGGAATTTTTCCAGGACATTGAAATGTTTCCTGCTGGTAAATTATACTGCACATGGACTATGCTTTTTTTTTTTTTAATGGTAATTTTTAAAAATCCTCACAGAAAGCCCTTTAATGGTGTATGTAATTGGAACACCCCCTGGTGTATCTGTTAAATTTACTTAAGTGCAGCCATTAAAACCTCAGCTAAAACTGTTATAGCTGAGGCCACAATTCAAAGAGATTAAAATCCAACTAGGTTGGATTCCCTTGAGGAAACCAGCAGACCTATCGAAAGTTCAAGGAAAATAGATGTCTTAGATTAAGTGAAGTCAAATGCATACATAACTTCCACAAAGGAGCCTACACAATAAATATAGGACATTGAGTCAGGATGTCTGGAAGCTTCTGGCTCTTGGATTCTTCATTTGCAAAAGGAAGGGTGTAGACTAGATGGACTAGATCACAGAGTTGCTTCCCATTTTAAAAATCTGATTTATAAATAAGTGACACTATATACCAAGTTCATGTAGGATCCTAAATCAGTGCGTGTTTGAAAATTCCCTCATCTACCCATCAGGTTCCCTGCTTGACTTATCTTGAAAGCCTAGTTCTAAAGCATCAAAAAGGCAAGAAACCTATACCGAGAGCAAGACCATATTGAGCAGACTTACATCAGCAGACCAACTCATTTCAGTTGATGCTTATTGAGTTAAATATGCAAAACATTGTTAAGGGCAGTGGGAACAGAAAGATGAGAAATTATAGTTATTTAATAAATAGCACATGTATAAGAGCACTCATTACAATAGCCCTGCAAAGTGGGTATCATTATCCAAATTTTATAGATGTTCCACCCCAGAGGTATAACGGTGGACATGTTATTTACACAGGACAAGCATGTAAAACACACACACACACACACACACACACACCCATTACTCTTAATTACATTTATTTGAATACCCATGGTTGTCTTCCCCTAATTTACCCCTAGGCTGAAACCTATAATAGTCAAAGATCCCATCTTATTTAAATCTCTCTTAAGAAACCCCTGGCATTTAGTCAGCATTCAGTAAGTACAGGTTTGAATGAATGAACGAAGGAATGAATAGAAAGCAAAAACCTTTTAACCAGGTAAGGCCTAATGCTGCCTCTATTTCTGCATCAAAGATATGCTTTATCTGACACAGAATTAAACTTTCATGTGTAATTGGCTGTAAATCCTGTTATATTAGCTAAACTGTAAGATGGCTAACAAATATAACTGGATATTGGTTCATTTTACAGCTGGGATTGGCAATTTCCCCGCAGGTAGGATGCTAAACCCATCAGTCATTGCCCAGTCTCCTCTGGAATAACTACATTTGCAAGGATTTCAGGGTAAAGAGAAATGGTGTCTTATCTAAGCAAATTCCCTTGCTTTGTCCAGCCATCTCTGTGGAGTCTGTCCAGTCCTCATGATAGGATAGAGAAGGGAGTACACTTTAAAGTATAATTGCAAATAGAGGAGAATTTAAAAATAAAACGTAAGTATTTGACTTTGTTCCATTTAAATTGTTTCCTTTAGACACTTTGACTCATGTGTCATTCTGACATGGAGAGTGGAATCTCATTGCACTACAGTATACAATAAGGACAGACCATTTTTCAGCAAGAGTTCATTATGGTTGAATAGTGCTAGTTTAAATTGTCCAATTGATTTGTATTTGCTGAGAGATGTGCATCTAAGTATTGCTGAAGCAGAAAATGTGGTCTCTGGATAGGACTAATGAAATGGGAGTTAAGACTTGTGGGCCGGGCGTGGTGGCTCAAGCCTGTAATCCCAGCACTTTGGGAGGCCGAGGCGGGCGGATCATGAGGTCAGGAGATCGAGACCATCCTGGCTAACATGGTGAAACCCCGTCTCTACTAAAAATACAAAAAACTAGCCGAGCGCGGTGGCGGGCACCTGTAGTCCCAGCTACTCGGGAGGCTGAGGCAGGAGAATGGCGTAAACCCGGGAGGCGGAGCTTGCAGTGAGCTGAGACCCGGCCACTGCACTCCAGCCTGGGTGACAGAGCAAGACTCCGTCTCAAAAAAAAAAAAAAAAAAGACTTGTGACGCCTATTGTCCGGTGAATCACTTATCTCTCGATTTCTTGTAGGTTATTTCTAACAGTTGAGATTAAATTTTTGAAAAATGCTTTGAAATTATTAAGATGAATACAGCAATACCGTATTAACATTCTCTAGAGGGTGAGAATATATATATACACACACACATATATATATAAAGGAGAGTTTATTAAGTATTAACTCACACGATCTCAAGGTCCCACAGTAGGCCATCTGCAAGCTGAAGAGCAAGGAAAGCCAGTCCGAGTCCCAAAACTGAAGAACTTGGAGTCCGATGTTTGAGGGCAGGAAGCATCCAGCACAGAAGGATGTAGGCTGGGAGGCTAGGCCCATCTAGACTTCTCATGTTTTTCTGCCTGCTTTATATTTGCTGGCAGCTGATTAGATGGTGCCCACCCAGATTAAGGGTGGGTCTGCCTTCCCTAGCCCACTGACTCAAATGTTAATCTCCTTTGGCAACACCTTCACAGACATTCCCAGGATCAATACTTTGCATGCTTCAATCCAATCAAGTTGATACTCAGTATTAACCATTGCAAACATGGTCTATGAATTCATTAATATGCTGTATGTCCTTAAAGTCTCCATTAGCACTGTCTTAGGTCACACAGATCTCAAGGCAAAAGTCAACTGTGTTTTGACTTACTTTCTATATCACCAAATAGGTTATCAAACCACTATGTAATTAATGAGTTTTTGATATTGAATGAATAACTTAAAACCATTTAAGGATTCCATGGTTAGGTCAATTTACCAAAAAGTTAAATATAATAAATTGGGTTTAAATAATTGGATTTTACAGTTGTCATATTTTTTCTAAATTTGAAAGAATGGCTGTAGAGAAAAAACTGCTTCATCAACATCAAAACACCTCAAAATTATTACAGCAATGATTTCATAATCTCACTGAAATGACAGATGAAAAAAATCTTTTCTTGCCCTAATGTAAAATCTCAGCAGGAAGCACTTAAGGTTAACTCCTGCTGACACGTCTAATCAGGTTGTAAAAGGGTTTCAGAGAATTAATCCTTGGATAAGGTGCTTTATACTGAAATAATGTAACCACTTTTCTTTGTAGTAATGAATCTTTTAATTTTAAAGGTAATTCTTCCTTGGGGACTTAGTGCAATTCTAAGTTTTTCCATATATTAAAGATGATTTAAAGTTGACATAGGGCAGATTTACAATACACGTAAGAGTCATAAAATGAAATGGAGAAAATATTCCAAGTTGATTTATGATTGAACCCTTCATAAGAATAATGAATTTACATTTTCTACTAGAATCTCCTTGAGACTGTAGTTGAAAGAACTAGACTACAATAGATAGTATTGCTTAGGCAGTTACTTGAGTACCAAATTTTACTAATGCAGATAATCTAGCTAGCTTACATTTAAAACCTTTTTCCTGTCATCCCAACAACTGTATTTTTACCTATGTGTACAGACATGTTTCCTCTCTAGGGTTAATGGAAATTTTACTATTTTGACGGTTTCCTCCCTCCTTAAAAATTCTCTATCCTAGTTATCAGGCAAAAAATGTTTTGGGGCATACTATTTATCCAGCCTAATAAAGCTAACTGGTAATATTCATCACCTAAAGAGTGATGAATTTAACACAAACAAATTAAATGAATTATTGGGGAGGCAGTCTTTTCTTTTGTTCAGAATTCATAAGGTTTGTGTTGTTAGCATGGTGTGTTTTTTAAAAGAATGATAAAAATAATCATGTTTAAAGAAATAAATTTACTTTAATGGTACTTTCAAAAAGACTAATCCACAACAAATTAAGTTGTACTGTATTTCCTTTGTTACCCAGAACCACAGGGCTGGTTGTCAACACATATTGAAGAAATGTAAGTAAAATACGGAAAGTGATGATTTTCAAAAGGAAGAGAAGAAACTCCTTTTCAACACTTTATATCATTTATTAATGCAGTATACATTAGATCTAAAATCTGCAGTTTCTAAGCACACCATGTTTAGATCTTTCAGATCCTTCTGCAGTTTTAGGTTATTTCTACAGAGGTACCTTTAAGTGAATGAATAACACATTCTATAATTCCTGAAAATATAGTACAGAGTGAAATGATTTAAATATAATTTAGGCACATATTGATTATGAAAATAGATTATCTCTCAATACAATACTTCTCTGTCTTGGTAAAAATAATAAAGCAAAGAAAATAATTCATTTCTGAAGTTGCTTTCCTTCACCTGTAAAGGTCTGATCTCCTCCCACTATGCATATGTACCCTTTACTGTTAAGGAAAGCTTTGCATATGTAGATATACAAGAATAAGCTACGTAAATACTAAAGATATGTCATTCTCCCAAAGGAGACACAGGTGGTTTTCAATGATTCCTTGCCTCATGTTGATGAGTCTGTAGAATTCAGAACCCATTTGGACACAGCTAATATCCCTGCTCTTGGGGTAGAAATAAGGACACCAGGTCATTGGTAGGGAGGTACAGGTCCTTCCTCTGCTGCTGCAGAGATAATGACTCAAGAAAATTGGGCTACAATTTGTTTAGGACACATATATATATATGTGTCCTAAACACGTAGAAGAATCACAGGTGCTGACTGATTGGTATTACACCTTGGACCAGCCAAATGCCTTTATTTTTACTTTACATATATTTTTTGGTGGCTGTAATCAAATGTGTGTTTAAAATTCCTCATTCCCCACTGTAGGGTTCTAGCTGCAATTATATTACATTGCCTTTTAGCAGGCAACTCTACCATCTTCATTCATATATGCTTTGATTGCAGTAGCTCTGGATTTAGTATCTATTTCTAAGCTGGCCCTATGTCAACTATTCGGTTTTTGAATTAAATGAATATTAATGATGCACCTTGGTTTTTTGGTTTTGAAGTGTCTTCTTATCCTTGTGATGATTGTATGAGAAAACTAGGCTAACAGTGTAAATAGAATTGCTTGGTCTGGTGTTGAGTGGAACTTGCCTAGAATGAAATTCTGAGAAATTCTCACTTATAAGTGTTGTAGTGATAGGTAAGTGCTTCCTCCATCCAGAGTCCCACTGTACCTTTGGAATGACAGTGATGTACAACGATGTCTTTCTTTCCACTCTGTCTCAATCAGTAAGAACTGGATATTACTTTAATTTAGCTACTGTTTTGTCCTAAAAAGTAAACATTTTAAAAATGAACCTGAAAAGAGTCTTAGGGAGTCTGATCTCACCATATTCATATGGTGTGACAGGTATTTAAAGAGAGGAGGCATCACTAAAGCTATTTATAAACCTGAACAACCTTTTCCAAGTTTTCATAAAGTTTTAACAATTTAAATATCCATACTGCATCTAGGTATTCAATAAATATAATTGCATATGTTGTGCTTTCCATAAATTAAAATCCTCAAATGCATCTCAAACCAAGATGGTATTTCCACATCATGCCTATTTAAAAGCAAATATAATAGATACTATTCCTGGTCATAAAACCAGGTAAACCCCCCTACCCCGTTCAAAAGGCAGCAATATCTAGTTTCCCTACATCTATTAAATGAGTGCTTTTCTGTTAAAAATCAGAAAATGGAAAAAAAGTCAGTTTTTTCCCTTATGCACCGCTCAGAACAAGCATAATCCTCTAAATGTTTTTTTTTAAATTTCCTTACAGTGTTATTTCTTCTAGACAACTGAGTGGGTGGAGAAAGAAAAGTGATAAGGAAAACATTTTCATCTTGTATATCTTCCTCCAGCCCCTAAAATTCTCATCTGACACTTTGTGACATGTGTAGTGGTGTCAGCATCTCTTCAAATATAGCTCCCTTCACGTTGGACCCTCTCAGGTTGGCTTCTTGAAGATCACACCCAGACAGATCACAATTCTGCAAGATGAAAACAATATTCACATAATTCATGTGGAAATTTCAGGCCTTATCTGTTTCTGCTCAAAACGATTTCTGGGGCAGATTAGGAAAATGTTCCTATACAATAAAACTCATTTAATTTCCGGAAAACTGATGATATACCACCCTAAATTAAGATGATATTCTATCTGTATTTGTTACCTCTAGTTAATGTTCAGGCTGTATATATATAAACAAAGGTTAAAGAGGAAGCATGTCCCTTGTTCTTGCATATTTTAAAATGAGACATTGAAAACAGGGGTCCCCAACTCCTGGGCCACAGACTGATACTGGTCCATGGCCTGTTAAGAATCAGGCCACACAGCAGGAGGTCACCAGTAGATGAAGCTTCATCTGTATTTACAGCCACTCCCTGTAAGGCTCAAGTTACAGCCTGAGCTCCACCTCTGTCAGATCAGCAAGGGCATTAGATTCGCATAGGAGAGTGAAACCTATTGTGAACTGCACATGTGAGGAATCCAGGTTGTGTACTCCTTATGAGAATCTAATGCCTGATGATCTCTCACTGTCTCCAACATCCCCAGATGCGAATGTCTACTTGCAAGAAAACAAACTCAGGGCTCCCACTGATTCTACATTATGGTGAGTTATATAATTATTTCATTATATATTACAATGTAATACTAGTAGAAATAAAGTGCACAATAAATGTAACGCACTTGAATCATCCCAAAACCACCCCTGACCCTGGTCTGTGAAAATATTGTCTTCCACAAAACCAGTCCCTGGTGCCAAAAAGGTCGGGGACCATTGATTTAAAATACAAAATGGATTCCAACATAATAAATAAATAAATAAATACACACACACACACACACACACACACACACACACACACAAACAAACAAAAAAAACGGAGTTTTGCTCTTGTTGCCCAGGCCAGAGTGCAATCTCGGCTCAGGGCAACCTCCAACTCCAGGATTCAAGTGAGTCTCCTGCCTCAGCTTCCCGACTAGCTGGGATTACAGGCACTCACCACCACACTCAGCTAATTTTTTGTATTTTTACTAGAGATGGGGTTTCACCATGTTGGCCAGGCTGGTCTCAAACTCCTGACCTCAAGTGATTCACCCACCTTGGCCTCCCAAAGTGCTGGGATTACAGGCATGAGCTACTGCACCTGGCCCCAAGGTAATAAATATTATCAAAACAATTTTACTATGATCCAAGAACAATAACAACAAAAGGAATGAGATGGGGGGAAGACTATTTTTCTTTTAATCTGAAAAGATTTTACTTAATCAAATTGTGTAATACATTTTTCCATTCCCTAGCCCTAGTATTTTTACACCAAGGAACTGCCTTTCTTTTTAAAGCCCCAAAGGTATGTATATAATACAATGAGTTTTGACAGATGTACAAAATAGTGTAACCACTGCAATTTGAAGCTGTTTCTTAATTTCTCTTGAGATCACGGAGCGGTAAGATAGAGATTCCAGTTAAGTCCCTGGATATGATACGGGACAATGGTTAGAGAGAAGGGTGACTAAATGTAACCTCTTAGGAGAACAAATGTCAGCAGCTCACCCCTCAATAGTCAACCTGATCAGTCTTTGCAATCAGTTAGACAGAGGGAGGCTTTTGCTGCTAAGCCACTCTGAGTACATAAAACCAAGGAAAATAATATAATCTTAGGTGAAAGTGATGTAATAAATAATAAATAATTGTGTTTGTGATAGGATTATAATCTTAGGCCAATTCTTTTTGCCTTGAAGTTGAAAGGGGTCTGCTACTCTGCTACTGAGAGCTATCAAGAGATCTAGGCAAAAATATTAAGAAAAAAAACAGCAAGCTAAATTTTGACATACTGTTCTCTGCTATCCAATTTATACCAGATTTCATAGCTACCAGCCACATGTGGCTACTTAAATTTAAATGAATTAAAATTAAATAAAATTTAAAAATCAATTTCTCATCTGCACTAGCCACATCTCAAGTGCTCAACAGCTCTATATGGCTAGTAGCTACTCTACTGAAGAGCACCGACACAGAACGTGTCCCTCCTGCACAAAGTGCTATTGGATGGTGCTGATGTAGACCTATCAACAGCTATCGAGTCTGCTAGCTAAACTGGCAAATTAAGAAGACATACAAATACAATTCTTTGAAAAAGATGACTAGGCAAAATTATAATCTCAGGCTGATAAACCAAAAAACATATGGTTCCAATTTTAAATAGACTTCCTGAACCTGATTTCAAACCTGGATATCATTTAAATTTCTCAAGTAGTTTAAGAAGTAATCTAGCCCATTTAGTTCTGTTCGGAATTAAATTTTATGGAAAATACAATACATTAGATAATGCATCTATCAAACTTATTTACTTGAGAAAAACTTAAGGAAAAGGAGAGAAATGAAATCAACTTAGTCTGAATGCCAGATGAGTCTTCCAATCCAGTTTTACCAACCAACTACTTTGTTTTGATTTCAATACATTTTGCATGAGATGCTTAGTAAGTCTAGAGTAATAAAAACTCTTAAAATGTTGGTGAACTCACCTCTAAATCAGTTCCTGCCAGAGTTGCTCCTCTGAGGTTACAGTTCTTCAACTTTGCATTTTTTAAGGTAGCCACTCTCAGGTTAATTCCTGTCATCTGACTTCCTTCCATATCCACACCTTTCAGATTAGCACCTACAATGAACACATTCTGGGAGTAGTTTAACTTAAAAATATAGTTATCTACCTTCAACAAAACTGCAAGATGACTTAATGGAGGTCAATAATGACAGTCTCTTTTGACTTTTGGAAATGAATCTAAAATCTTGTCTCTCAACGAACTTATATATATAAACAGTTCACTGATGAAAGAATGCTTTCATTGATACTTTTGAGGGAAGAAATTTAGTTCTGTCTTATGATGGTTAGCACTTTCATAATATGCCTCTACAGGTTTATGATAAGGAAGGTTAAGTAGTCTCCTAAATATACAAGTAAACAAAGTGATCAGTCACAGATAAAACAGTAACAAATTAAGAAACAATAAATTAAATCTTAAAATGATTTTTATAAACTCCCTGGCTTTATGCAAAAGAAATTTTTCCTTTTGGTCAGTGTAAGAATATTTTATTCCATTTGAAAGTTTAAGACATTGATATTTAATTTTCCAATTAAAACTTTATTAAATATTTGAGGCTTTATTTTTTCTGAGTCCTCCGTTTTGATTAGCATTTGACTGAAACCAAATGGAGGTATCTTACCGCTTTGGAAGTTCTCCAAATATGATGACAGAAGAAACCTATTCCCTACAGCTATCCTGTTTCACCCTTAACAATTATTTTCCAGGGCTTTTTCCTTTACAGTCTGCTTCCTCCATAGAATAGGTATTTACAGAAAGGATCTCACCTTCTAAATTGGCTTTAAGACCAGAAGGATCCTCAAAATTACACAGTTTCAGGGATGCTCCTTCTGCATTAGAACAGAGCATCTTGACTCCCTGGAGATTTGCACACTGCAAAGAAAAGAGAAAAGTCCTGGTGGTAAGGTTCATAATTTTGTTCAAATTAGCTCAAACAGTAAAAGAAAAAATAGAAAAGGGGAAAAGGCTCAACTCAACACACTCATAATCAATTATTTTCTGTTTACAATAAAGGCTTTTCTAATTAAACGCAGTAAGAAATGGGAACATTTGAAAGAAATTTTTTTTTAAAGAACTGTTTTTAAAAAAATAAATGCAAATTAACAATAGCATGCTCATTTTACATGAAACATAATGGTGTAGATAAAGAAGTTGGGAGAGTCAGAACTATGACGTCTCTGTCTCTATTTTTATAAACACACCTATGCATGACAATGAAATAGTCAAAATGTATGGGTAAGGAAGGCATACACTTGTTAGGGGTATGGATTTTCTTATTACTATGGGAATCTTAATGTTCTAAGTGAAATTACTGATATTCTAAGATGCTACTACTGCCTTCAAGTCAGAGGTCAGAATACGAATGCCAGCATTTAAACGCATTATTTAGCTACAAAACACTAACAAGATGCTTTTTGAGTCTTTCTGCACCAACCATGGCTAAACATTAGCAACCCTGAGCAGGCACATCACAATGCATAATGCAAGGCAGAGAGTAAAATGGTAGAAAATATATGTTTTAAGGCTGTTTTGTTTTGTTTTGTTTTGTTTGAGACAAAGCCTCACTCCGTCACCCAGGATGGAGTGCGGTGGTGCTATCTCAGCTCACTGCAACCTCTGCCTCCCAAGTTCAGGTGATTCTCGTGCCTCAGCCTCCTGAGTAGCTTGGATTACAGGCATGCACCACCACGCCTGGCTAATTTTTGCATTTTTAGTAGAGACGGGTTTTCACCATGTTGGCTAGGCTGGTCTTGACCTCAAGTGATCTACCTTCCTCTGCCTCCCAAAGTGCTCGGTTTACAGGCTTGACCCACCTCATCCAGCCAAGAGTTTTAAATTATGTTCATTTATCTCAAAGAGTTTTTGACAAACTTTTTTTTTAGGGCTTAACACAAACAAAGATGCCTCTCGACATTCCACTATTTAAAGACTAGGTCCTTCAAACTTTTTTTTGATGCTAGTCTTTTTCCTGTTTTGTTACTAACCTGACCCTTCATAAGACAGAATAAGAACAGTGAAAGTAACTAAAATGCATATTTGGTAGATTTTGTTACTAGCTCGGATACACGGCTTCATGGAGAAATAAGCTGCAGCTAATGAGTAAAACCCAAATTACAATAATTCAATAAATGACTACCAAAAGCAAGATGGTATTAATTCAAAAGACATACAGACATGGGCCTTGGTGGTAAGGAACTTAAAAGTTGTTAAAAATTAATAGATTTCATTGTTGGTCTGCATCTACCCTCTAACTTCAAATAAACACAGGTAACTGTCATGAATACATACATATACATACATATAAATATACACATATACAGAGAGAGAGGGAAAAAGCCACTGAGATGTTAACTTCCACAAACTGATGCATACCATATTTATTTCAAAATATCTATCAAATAATTCTTGAGCAGTAACATTTTCCCATTCCAGAAATGAGGTTGAATAGATTTCAAGGTTCCTTTCAGTTTTACCTTTATAATTTGCTGAAAATACGAGTCCTGACAAAGTACAGTATATTGAGGAGATCAGGAACTAATTCCAAGATTTAATTTCTTTTTAGTTGCTAAACCTTTCAGGTCTATGTTTAATAAAGGATATCAAACCTGTAAAACCAAATTCATTTCACTTTCAGACCCTTTAGTCTTATATCAACATAATAAATTATCTGTTTTCAAGTAAAAGCTCCCATAAAAGACAGTTATAATTCCTGTCTCAAAGGCTCTTTGAGACTGTTCAATAGACTAAACATTTACTTTTCTCTTGTAGCCTAAAATGATACTTACGTCAAGCACTGATCCAGAAAGATCAGCTCGTTCAAGATTTGCACAGCAAAGATTTGCATGTGCAAGATTGCAGCGGCTTAAATTGGCCATTTTGAAGTTAATGTATCGAAGGTCCAAACGAGAAAGATCAGCACCACTGAAGTTCAAACCCTGAAATAAAAAAGCACAAATTGTCACCATAATTAAATCGTCTGTTTGTATTAAATTTAATTACTATAGCTAACCACCAAGTTTTTTTTAGAAGCAATTGGCAGTTCAGTTACTTGGAGTTTATTACAAAACATGATCAAAATGGACTTAGATACATGAAAGAAGTGTCCTTAAATAGGTTCCTCATAAAAGAAACTCTATCAACATATACATTAGAATATAGCCTGGCTATAATTCATTTATGTGTAGAAGTTTCTAAAGAGGTATCCCTGTTAGTCCTATACCTGCTAATAAGTATTTAAACCTAATTATATTTAAATTATTTTATTAATTCAATAATTCAAAATAGTTTATCAGGCAAAAATGAATACTGTGGTCTTTAAAATCTGAAATGCTACAGTACACATAAGTAAAGTACCTGCCACTGATCGGACCATATATTGCAAATGTACAAATAATTACTTTTAAAAAACTGCTGCAATTTCCATGCATTATTCATAAACTGCTGCATGAGGTATAATTAGGCAATTTAAAAAGGCTATTATTGCATCTCTTTTTGGTTAACCATTTCAGAACTAAATCAATGCTATGACCCATAATTAAATTAGATCTTGCACATAAAAGAAAAATAAAGCAAAATAACCCCAAAACACTAGAAGAATGTAAAATTTTATTTTGCTGATAGAAATAATTCATGTAATTCATGTAAAATTCATGTTAATTACCTGGCATCGCAGTTCTGACTTGGTTGGAGTTGCTAGCAAAAATCGGACAAATTCCTTTCGGGATATTGGTGAATGATCCTCCGGTGGCTGAGAATTCTTGAAAAAGATATTAAGAAATTAGTGGAGTCTTTTGGGAGATAGCTACAATATATATAACAGTGGCTAATGTAAAAACAGGCTTACCTTTATTGCCACTTCCAGGTGTTCAATCAATGAGTCAATACCAAAAAACCTTGCTTCTTCTAACACACCTATCAGAACAAAAATGATTCTGAACAACTAATTTAGTGAATGTATTACAGTCATTTTAAATTTAGTAAAATACGATTAGTTAACATAATTTTAACATTTAATTGACTTTTTAAATGGAGCAGATCTGAACATGTTTGCCACAAGTATCTTTGACATAATGAGTCAGAAAATGATGGAAATGAATAAAAGTTTAAAAAGTACAAAAAAGTATAATTCAGAAATCTTATAGGAGAATAAATTTTAAAAATATTGGTAAATACTAAAAGAGGTTTCATTTATCATTTACTTTAACTTGGTAAAAAACAATGTACATCCTTTACATGACTTGGTATGTTTACTTATTCTAATCTGTTAATAAACATCATCAGAATGTGTGGGAATACATTTGGGTTCCATTATCTTTCAAATGAGAAGACCTCAATCAGTTGGCTGTTGACTTGGTAAAAAACTACTTAGAACTCTGGAATTACAAAGAAAGTATCAGACATAATCCCTCCCTTCAAACACAAGCTAATAAGGTAAGTAGATACCGAAAACCACAAGCCGTTATTTGGGAAGAATAATACAATCTTTTCTGTGAAAACCAAACTCTATGGACGATAATACAATTGTAAAACAAAGGTCATCCAAGGTACAGCATCCGGCTACCACTCTGGCATACAGGGTCCACATTTCCCCTTCAAGAGGCATCCAAAGATTATGCCATTCTGGTCGGATATATATCCCCGGTGGAAACCCAACATATTATAAAAGAGGTTCTTGTGGGCCACGCTCTCAATTTGCCAAGATCTGAGTAAAGCAGAACTCTTAGGGAATGCAGCCAGGATACATTTCTAATTCTAGGTTTAGAAATAAATCTTTAAAACATCCAGAGAAGCCTCAGAAATACAAAAGACAGGCCAGGCACGGTGGCTCAACACCTGTAATCCCAGCACTTTCGGAGGCTGAGGCGGGTGGATCACTTGAGGTCAGGAGTTCGAGACCAGCCTGGCCAACACATGGTGAAACCCTGTCTCTACTAAAAAAAAAAAAAAAAAAAAATTAGCTGGGCATTGTGGTGTGTGCCTATAATCCCAGCTACTCGGGAAGCTGAGGCAGGAGAATCACTTGAACCCAGAAGGCACAGTTTGCAGTGAGCGGAGATCACATCATTGCACTCCAGCTTGGGTAACAGAGGGAGACTCTCTCAAAAAAAAAAAAAATCAAAATCTGGATTTGAATCCCAGCTCTGCCACTCACTACTTTTTGGTGTTAGTGAAATTACTGTAGATTGTTTTAAAGCATATAATTACTTGAGCAATCTGTAGGCAATATAAAGAGTTTGGATGGAAACTGTACTAATTAAAAACAATGCTTTATAAAATGAATCCAGCAGAGAGCTCTGCTTTTTGAACACTTGCACAAATAAAAGAAATAGTTGAGAAACATGAAAAAGAAAAAACTAGCAAATCTTGGTAATAGCTTGGTTTGCAGATATGTGACAGAGCATGGATAAATATATTTCTGATGTTATTTTCTAGGCAAGTAGGATACAAAATGCTATCAATAATCTGAAGAAAAATTAAAATGGGAGAAATAGAAAGCAACAAAAATTTAGTTACAAAGTTATAGCACTAGCTAAAAGAGTCAAATAATGTCTTTTTTTTTTTTTTTTGCAATAGGTACATGTTAAAGGGAATATAAAGTTTGTTATAGCAACACTAGAAGTTAGTGGGTGTTTTGTATTTCACTACAGAAACTGTAAGCTAGCAGTCCTCAGGCTGATTCTGATGTATTCAGCATGTAATGTTTTCAAAATAAAAACATGTCACATAAAATTTTAGATACCCAGGTTTCTTCAAAAACCAAGGTTCTGGCACTCTACATCTGTCCACATTGCACATGGCAATGATCTGCTGAAGCTGGCAGGCATGTGACCTCAAGATCACCAACTGCCTACCACTCCTCAAGTACTAACATCACATCAACTTCAGTCACTTAGAGGCCTATTAGCATCCAAATGTGCAACCAGTGTTTTATAAGGGCTTTTGTCTACATCACCTCCATTAACCTTCACAAAAATCTTGTGATGTAGATAGGGTTGAGAGTGCTTTTAACACTCATTTTTCCAATATGACTCAGAGAAATTTTCCCCAAGTTAGTCTCCCTAAGTTAGCAAATTGTAGAATCAAATCTCTAATTGAGAATTATGATTGCAAGTCATGATTTGCCCTCTTGACTACTCTAGTTCTCACATAATGTGGAGAATATCCAGAACTTGGAGCCAAGTTACATTCATAATTCAATTTTTAAAAAAGGAAACAACAAAATCGTTTAAAGTCACTTGTCATATAGAATCTATATCAGTTTAGAATATAAAGTTGATGTGTATGGCTTAGATATTTACCTATATGTACAAAGACTACCTACCTGAAGGACCACCTGTCCGTGCCTAAATCTATTTCTACACCTATATACACTCATATACATGAGAAAACATCTAGTTTAAAAAATAGAAAAAAAAATACTTTTACTTTATGGAAATATACTGTCACTGAGTGAAACAAAGTTAAAATCTTAAACTTACAAAAATGTGAGTAGTTACATAATTATATTGAAAGTCTACATAAACTCACCCAATAAATTAATGCCATCATTTACAATGAGCTGTCCATGACGCAAGTAGTTCAAAATGGGTTCAAAGTACTCAGGACTTCGGTCAATTAAGAAAGCTCCTCTATGATCTTGCTTATTTCCCCAGACACCTGTGTTACCATTATAATAAAGAAAGTACCCCATAAACAAAAAATAAAGTCAGAAATGTATGAGGAAAAAATTGCTTAATATATCAGTAAGTTTTTACTCTTAAAAACTGACATAATTAGTAAGTACAGAAAGTCGGGAGTTATAAAGGCAGCACAGATACAAAACAGGTAAGACGAAATGTGAAACCAACGTATTACACTCACCTTTGTCCTTAAACATGTGGGCCAGCATACTGTCAGGTTCTTTATTCACTAAAGTGCTCCTAAGAATTCAGGGAAAAAAATTGATTTCTCCATTTGTCTTTATAAACAAACATATTTAAGTCAAGAGTATACTCGATCCCAGCTGCTCTCTCAAAAAGATGCATGCTACAACCTGGTAGGAGTAACGCTGGGAAACAAAAACGTGCAGTAAGTTGCCATTTATCAGATCCCTTCTAATCGGGTACTTCCTTTGATTTAAACATTTTTTAGTTTCCTTTGCTTTAAATACTTCTCTGTCTATCCTGTTAGCAAACTATTACATAATAATATTCTTGATCTTCCAAACTGACATTTTTCTGCCCTTTAATAAAAGCAGTTGTAGCCTCTACAAATTTCAGTACTGTTAATTTTTACTTATATTGTGTGTCTATTACTCAATATCTAAAAAGCATGTTCTAAAACACTGAAGTGATGCCTTTTATGCTTTCTCAGGAATGAACCATGTTTTTACTTTGTTCTTCAAAAAAACTTATAAAAAATGGTTTCAGATCACACAGTATATTTAAGCAGCATTTGAGTATCTTTTTAGGGAATCAGCAAATTGAAGAACAAATGGTACACAGTGCTCCTTTTGCATTCTCTTTCTCTCTAACACACATACACATACACCTACCGTGTAGTTGTAAAGTACCGCCCTCCAACATTTAATGTCAGCCAGTCTGTGTGGAATCCTAACAATCCCTCAGGAGGCTTAGAATCTGTCTGAGGATCTAGAGATGACATGTAGAAAATAATACAAATATTAAGATTGGGGATTCTGGGAAGACGGTAATGGCATAATTTTTAAAACTGAATACACACATAATAAAAGCATACCAGAGCTACTAGGACAGCAATACCCAAACCCACAGACTGCATCTAAAACAACACTAGGTGATAAGGTAGTCCCACCAATACCAACAGCTATAAGAGCAGCATGCTTTCAGCGCCTGTGAAAGAAAAAGCAGAGAGATGCAACAGGGTATATGATGAACCCATGAATGTGAAAGCCATCCATAGATACTGACTTCATTGCTTAATAAGTTCAGCTGAGAACAACAGATTGAGATGACCCCAAAAGTGAGTGATGCAAGTACTTTGCAGTAAGATCTGATAGGGCTGAAAATAAACTCTCAAAACCATAACCAAAATAAATGGTCAAAACTCCCTTCTATGGACAAAGCCCCACACTGATAACATGCTGGGAAAATAATCCAAGCTGAATGCAACAGAGACAACAGAGACTAAAAAAAAAAAGGACTCCAGACGAAAGTTAAGAGGTCTAATAGACCAAAATATATCAGAAAATGAGTTCTGTATGTTTTTAACACTTCACAAAAACAACAGAAAAGGGAACTCTAGAGCCATGAAATTAGAAAAACTGTCCTGTCAGCCCTCTTTTCAAGTTAAGAAAAACTAACTTCACATAAAAATGAGCAATACAAAAGGATTGATCAAATGTAATACAAAAGTGTTAAAATAATAATAATAATGTCCTTATAGATAATGCCAGAAATACCCACAAAATAGATCAAAATTATAATCTAATATTCCAAAACATGCTAAAATAAGTTTATACAAGGTATAAAATAACAATATAAACCAGGATTTACAAATTCAGAAACGTGTAGCAAGAACTCCCAAGAGAATCAGAAATAAAAGAAAAACGATTTTTAAAATAAAGACTAAAGCAAAAGAAATACAAGAGTGATTAAACACAATGACAGTGACTTAAGGGAAAGAAAAGGTAAAAAAGAGAATAGCTTGAAAAATTAAAAAGAAACGGCCACACATGGTGGCTCATAACCGTAATCCTTTGGGAGGCCGAGGCAGGTGGATTGCTTGAGCTCAGGAGTTCAAGACCAGCCTGGGCAACAGGGCAAAACCCCAAAATCCCATCTCTACAAAAAATACAAAAAAATTATCCGAGCATGGTGGCACACATCTGCAGTCCCAGCTACTGGCTGGGGGCTGAGGCAGGAGAATCACTTGAACCCAGGAGGTTGAAGCTGCAGTGAGCCAAGATCACACCACTGCCTTACAGCCTGAGTGACGAAGTGAGGCCCTGTCTCAAAAAAATAAATAAATAAAATACAAAGAAAAGAAAAGAAAGTTTCAAATGTAAAAGACAAGTGTAAAAGATCCACCATACATACAATAGAGTCCTGAAAGAAGGAAATCAAATCAAAGTGAACAAAATAAAAATGTAAACTTCAAGAAAACTGTACTGAAATTTTAAAATACACACACTTGAAACTATATATTGAAAGGATCCATCACATACTGAGAAAACCAATTCAGAACAACTCAGAACACCAAAAAATATTCTACTAAAATTACTGTACTTTAAAGAAAGAGAAATATCCTTTGGGTGATCTATGAAAAATAATCACATAAGAAAGATCAGATTTTTTGAGACCAACACCTCAAGCCAGAATAAAATGCAGTAACGTATTTAAGATATTCAAAGAAAAATGATGTGAACCAAGGATTTTTCAATAGCTTCACTGAGGTATAATTAACACAGAACAAATTACACATACTAAAGTTTATAATAAGCGTTGACATATAATTTTATACCAAAATCATATAAAGATGGTGGATGGCAATGACATCTTGCCACTGGAAGATGTCAGAGACTATTGTTCTCATAGTTTCTTGGAGAGAAATCTACTAGAGAACAAGTTTCAGATAACCACTGGAAACATAACAAAAGGATGGAGGTAAATGTACGCTTGAAGAAGTAAAACTAAATGAGAGTATAAAGGGAGACAGTATGGTATACAATGGCTGTATGTTCTGACAATGCAGAAACAATACAATTATTTTTAAGTAAGGGGAGAAAGGATTTAGCATATGAAAAACATTTAACTGTTTTTAGTAATTATATTGGTACTGAAAGTATTGGGTTTGTTACGCTGACATTTTTAGATGTGTTCTGTATGGGGTATAGTAAATGAGTAATTATGTGACATTATAATTCTATTAGTCCCTGGGTCCCTGAAAGTCAGTATTATTGATATAGAAAAAGGAGACACAGATGTTAAGAACAGAAGAGGAAAAGTAAAAACCTTATAATCCTTAATATAAACTTTAAGTATTAGTATGAACCCATGAGTTATTTCATCTATCCATATTGTGTTATATATGATATGTAAACTTTCTATCCTATAACATATATACAAATTTTATCTCTACCTATATATTTTCAGTTCTGTCCACCAAAAAGCATAGCAACAATGATAAACCCAATAACAAACAGCCTCCCTAGCTCCCAGATTTGTCTTGGAAAGACACTTCCCACTAAAAAAAATCAAGGCTTGTTGGAAAAATGTTGATCCAGGTCTGAGACAGGAAAAGGCTTTAAGATGAACACCTGTTATTCCAGATAATAAGAAAGCTATAAAATCCAACAGGGCTTGTTAAAAAGACCTGAAGAGATTTCCAGTGGCCAAAAATTAAGACAATCTGAACACCAATAAATGCAGAGGATGAAAATATACCAAATATTTTAAAATCCATCAGTTAACAATAAAAAAAAAACCTTAATTGATCATTTTTTATTGTGTTTGTATGCAGTGGACCAATTAAGTGATCGTTGCCTGCCAATCACTGTTAGGCCAATGGATAAAAGAAGATGAGGAAAAGTTCTTACTCACAGTTTTAAGGTAGAGACAGACAGACAAGAGTATGCACTTACTTCCAAGTTGACAATTGCCTGTGCATCAATCCTGAGAACTACTTCCACTCACCAAATACAATTAGTATGATGCTTTAAAAAATACTTAAATATTCAGTGTTGACTGTATGGATCTAAATAAATCAAATACTTTATCTTACTTTTGGCCTTTTCTTTTGAGATATACAACTATAAGCTTTCTTCCAAATCAAAGGGTAGTGTGTGTGCACACCCATGTTTGTGGTTGATACCAAGTTATTTTTTGACTGATCTGATCACTGTGAAATACTGTCAAACACTACTTATGCAAGCAATATTTACTCACAAATATGTAATACAACATGTAGAAAAATTTTGACATTTACTATCAAAGAAAAAATTCTGAAACAATTGTTTCTAAAATCAAAACTACCTTACTATGTTATAGTTAATGAATATGTACACCTTGAAAGCATTTTAAAGGCATGTAAAAGATGAAGCATCCATAATAAACTACGATCATATAGTAAAAAATTTAACACATACACCCAATGTAGAATCAAAAAGTGTGAAGATCTGAATACAGCCATAAGATCATTTTTGATGTTTAAGCTTAATAGCCCCATTTAAAGTAATTGCCATTCCATCTTTTTTTTTTTTTTTTTTTTTTGGCAGATAAAACTGGCTTTTAAAGTCACTTACCAATAAATGGCTCTCCTTCACAAACAAACAAAACATCATCATCCCTGGGGAAATCAAAATTTAAAAAGCCACCATCAAAATCTAAAAATCACATTAATTATCTGTTGCTTATAGGAATTATTCCTTAGAATTATATAGACAATAGGTTTTGCTATCAATCTAGACTGCAAAGAAGCTAAGTTTCCAATGCTTTGTTTAGCTCCCTGAACTTAACTGTCTTTGAATTTAAATTCAAAAATAAGATCTTGCACATGAAAGTACTTTTGAAATGGGGGGGAAAATCCCACTACACAAATTATGTGAGTTCAGCTTTCTTATCAACTGAGAATGAATAATTATGCTCAAAGGATAGATTAAAGCCACAGCTAACTCCTCTTTTTTTCTTTACCTTTTTTTTTACCCCTAAATCATTAGCTGTTGTGTGCTTTGGAGATGAAATAAACTGTCATATTAAATCTAGGAAAAATATAGCTGGAAGTAACTCTGCTGTCAGTGTTTACCCACTACAGATCCACCATACACCCAAATGTAAATGGTTGCACATAACCCACAGTTCTAGACAATCAGTGTACATCCTCTTCCTCAACCCATTACACCAGATAACGTATTGTGAACCTAAAACGAATAAGTCGGTATTTTATAGCTCAGAAGGCTTCAGTTATAACCTTCCATTGTAGAAGTTTTTATTTCCTATAGGACATCACAGGACACATTAAATTTTTCTAAGAAGCAGAGTTTGTGCTTGTTAAGGAGAAAGTTAGGTTGATGAGGACCATCATCCAACAATGTGACTCAGTTTTCCTTAGAAACTGAAAGAAGCTGGGAGATACATATTGAAAAACTCGAAATTATCCTAATTTATTTGGATTTAAAATGTAGTATATAGTATTTCCTACTTGTTCACCATGCCAATTTACTGTTTTCAGATTAGTATAAAAATCTGTTTTTTTTTTTTCATTAACAAAACCCAATTAGCTGTATGACCTGAGTGAGTCCTCAGCTTCACAGGTAATTCGTTTCCTCGTCTGTAAAATGAAGGGTCTAGAACTGATTCACTGCAAAAGCAGTATACTATATTGAAAGGTCATTTTGATCTGGATTTATACAGAGACTCTGTGTATTATTGTAACTTAAAGCATCATTATCTTCACATCATTGATAAAAAAACTCATGCTCTGCCAATCAAATGGTATAACTCAGGCAAAGCAATTATAACATAACTGGCATAGTCAACACTTAATTTGTGTTCCCTTTACCATCTTCTTTGTTAAGCATCTTCCTGCTCCAAAATTCTCTGACCTCGTGAAGATGAAGTAAGGTGAACTACACACTTGTTTTAAAGAGATGAATCTGCCTGGGATATTTAAAGAACAAACAAATAAGTCTATAATTATGGTGGATCACTGGTGATATCTCTACTTAGAATTATATCATATTTATAAAGTTTTCACAAAATCTGGCCTTTGTAATATTTATAAAATGCAAAGCATTTCTTAGGAAATGATTAACAAGCAGGTGCATATAAAAGTGAAGAGATGAATTAGATTTCTAACGTTAAAAACTGCATGTCTTATTAGATCCTGCTGTAGTACCACAAAGAAGAAATTCCTCATAGCCATATATGAACTATGCAGAAAGACTATCAGTATACTGAAATGTATACTAAGGGTTTTCTAGCTGATCAATACAGCTTAAGCCCAAATGATTTAAATTCCAAAGAGCAAATTCTAGGTAATCACTTGCCAAAATCCTGTATTCTTAACAGTGATTAAACTACTGCTTAAGGGAAACAGCATAGCACCAAGAAGTTGAGGCACACTGTTGACAGCTTATAAAAAGGTGAAGGTTACCTGATCAAAGCAATATCATCAATCAGTCCACCTTTCCCATTATATACACTGGTGGCTTTTATGCCGAGTTTACTGCTGGCCACAGAAAGCAAATCAGATAAAGTTCCATATACAGCAACCACCTGTAAATACACCAGATTAATATGAACAACTTATTTAATAAATGTTATCCCAACAAGTTACAAACCATCACAGTAAAACAGGGCTAAAAAGAGTATCATATAAAAGGAGACTTCAACAGGTTCTTAACAGTGCCCCCTTTTCTTCTATGACTCATTTATTCACTTGGTGCCTAAAATTGTCGAATCCTAAACTAGAACATAAGAAATCATCTCTGACCAAAACAATCTACAATCCTAAGGTGCGTTAAATAGCACTCCAGTTGTGAAGTAAGATAGACCCACACTTCAATCTAGAGTCTGACATTTTCTAGCTGTCAACTTGAGTCAACCTATTGATGCTTCTGTTGCTTTAACTAAAAATGAAGAAAATAGTAGCACCTACTTCAGAAGGTTATTACGAATTCATGCATAAGAGCTTGGCAAAGAGACTGAGACCTAGTAAGTCCCTATTATGTTGTCCTTTTATTATTTATTTATTTGAATGGTGCACCCTTAGAATAGGAGTCCACTGGTGCTGTTTATTATATCATTATCTACATAAACTACCATAGAAAATATAACTTCCTACCTCATTTATTTAATTCTTCATTAACTAAGACAGATTTTAGCATCTAACATTAAGAATACAGCAAACAGCTGGGTGACAAGGAATTGATCTGTCCTGCTGTGAATCCAGCATTCTGATATATGTGTAAGATACATGCAACTGTTTAAGCAAGGGGGCTGACAATCTCTACATGTAAGTGAATTTTGTGCCCTGGTCCTAACTGTAACTATGGGTTCCCAGCGGCTGAGTTGTACAGTTGCACCATTATTAGTTATGACCTCTGAAAGTTAGGAATAAAAAGTAGGAGAGGGTCGGGCGCAGTGGTTCAAGCCTGTAATCCCAGCACTTTGTAAGGCTGAGACTGGCAGAGCACTTAAGGACTGGAGTTTGACCAGCCAGACCAAAATGGAGAAACCCTATCTTTACTAAAATACAAAAATCAGTCAGGTGTGGTGGCACATGCCTGTAGCTACTCCAGAGGCTGACGCATGAGAATTGCTTGAACCCGGGAGACAGAGGTTGCAGTGAGCCAAGGTTGCACCACTGCACTCCAGCCTGTGTGACTGAGCAAGCCTCTGTCTCCCCCACAAAAAAAAGAAAAAGAAGTACGTGAAGAGCTAAACATGAAGCACAATCATCTAGCTCATGGATGTCCCAAGATCATATGTCAAGATGCCATATGAAGTGAGCACTAAGGCTGGTCCTCTGTCCACCAGTGACTGGAATACAGTGGAGAGTTTCTAGTTAAATAAATAAAGTAAATGGAGGCCATAGAAAAAGCTGCTTGATAACAAAGAGTGTGCAGTTTTTCAAAAGCAGAGTACTCAGATTCCAACTTTTTTCTCTTGGATCAGAAGGATGAAAGAGAGAAGAGTGCTGGAGCATTTTGGAAAGTGTTGAAGGCGAGAAAAATGTAAGCGGAACCAAGTACATTATTAAAAATAATGCATAACCCAACTGTCTATAAGCAGGTAATTGTATAAATATGGTATAGACATACAACTGAATATTATTCAGCAATAAGAAACAATGAGGCCAGGTACAGTGGCTGATGCCTGTAATCCCAGCACTTTGAGAGGCTGAGGCAGGTGGATCGCTTCGAGACCCACCTGGCCAACATGGTGAAACATGGTCTTTACAAAAAAAAAATACAAAAAGTAGCAAAGATGGTGGCACATCCCTGTAGTCTCAGCTGCTTGGGAGGCCAAGGTGGGAGGATGACCTGAGCCTGCCAAGTCAAGGCTGCAGTGAGCCAAGATCATACCACTGTACTCCAGCCTGGACATGATGGGATGGAAAAGAAAAAAGGAAAAGAGAAAGGAAAGGAAAAAAAAGGGAAAAGGAAAGGAAAGGAAAGAAAAAAGAAAATGAAAGGAAAGAAGAGAAGAGACATGAATTCTGACACGTTACAACATGGATGAACCTTTGTGACCGTATGCTAAATGAAGTAAGCCAATAAGAAAAGGATAAATATTCTAAGATACCACTCACATGAAAGTACCCAAAACAGGCAAATTCATAGAGATAGAAAGCAGAATAAACGTTACCAAGGCATAGATGGGAATGGAGAGTTATTTCTTAATGGGTACAATTTCTGTTTGGGATGATGACCAAGTACTGGAAATAAACAGTGGTGATGGTTACACACATTGCGAATGTAAACAATGTCAATGAATTACACATTTAAAAAATGGTTAAAATAATAAATTTTGTTCTATCTTCTATCACAATAAAAAAATAATGCAAAGCACTAGGCGCAGTGTCCTACACACAGCAGGCTTGCCACAAATAATTAAAGCCTGAGTAAAATATGTCCCCCATATTTCCTATGATTGTTCACCTCTGCAACACAGTGAGGAATTCTGTAATTGCATTATACACATTCCTGGGAAAAAGGTAAGAGAAATATAGTACCTAGGGCATTGCACATGGCAAAGCTGGGGTTGTGTTAAGGCAAAGAACATGAAGAAAGTAAAGACAGAGAAGAGAGAAGCAAACATGCAAAGGAGCAAGAGACTGACCACAGCAGATGCAAAACAACTTCTGCAGTCAGAAGGTACTGAGAGGAGGGTAAGAAGCACCTCTTTCCCAATTCAATGTTCTTGGCATAGTTGCCATTATACAAATAATTTTCTAAATCTTTCGTTTCCCTCTTATTTACCTCTGGCCCTTGTATCTCAATATGGCTTTCTTTTGCCTGATATCCCCTCCTTGCCCTAACATCAACTTTCTTCCTCAGTATCACTTTCACTGCTCTTTCATCCATACCATAAAATAGATGCAAGTTGAATGCACCTGCCTGTATTATCCTTCTGTGATTAACATATTATAGCTTAAGATCTTATATGACTTATTCAAAATACACTAACTTGAATTGTCGTTTACTTCTATAGGATTGACTTGGTTTTTCTGTTGGTTAGCTGTCTTCCGATGAAAATAAAGGCCACCTGCCATGTTTTAAAGCTGTGCTGTCCAATGTGGAAACCACAAGCTTCATTAGTCTATTTAAATTTTAATGTATTAAAATTAAAAGTTAAAATGCAGTTCAGTCACACTAGCCACATTTCAAGTGCTCAACTGCCACACTGGCTAGTGGTTTCCATTTGAATAGCACAGATTTCCATCATCTCAGTAGTTCTATCAGACAGTGCCATTCTGAAGAGCAGAATAAAATGAAAAAGAAGGAAAAAAAAAAAACCACTATTTTAATTCTATTAGGCTTTCCCATGACATAGGAACCCAAAGTAACAAATTGATGAAATACAACTCAAGACCTGTTTGTTGTTTTATTCAGAGGGTTAGGATGTTGCCATCTTCCATTTCTTCCCCACTGAAGTCAAATGTGACCAGATGAGAGAAAAAAAATCACACATACTATTTGGCAAGGACTATTCTCAAGGCAATCAAAGTACAATAGGTGTCTCCTTGAAGGCTGTAAAACTACTAAAGGAGCACAGTCTAGGTATAAACTGAATTCAACTTTTATTTTATTGCCACTTAAATCAATCTTAATAAAGTATCAAGAACAATTTACCATATCACTAAGTATTTTCTAATCTGGCTGTCTGCCTGGATCCTAAAGGTCCAGTAAAAATATTAATTTGCAAAAAGTTGCTATGAATTCTGTGAACAGAGGTGACTACCCCTTGGTAAAGCTGATAAGCAGCACTAAAGAAGTACATCCCTGGCCGGGCGCGGTGGCTCAAGCCTGTAATCCCAGCACTTTGGGAGGCCGAGACGGGCGGATCACGAGGTCAGGAGATCAAGACCATCCTGGCTAACACAATGAAACCCCATCTCCACTAAAAATACAAAAAAAATTAGCCGGGCGTGGTGGCGGCGCCTGTAGTCCCAGCTACTCGGGAGGCTGAGGCAGGAGAATGGCGGGAACCCGGGAGGCGGAGCTTGCAGTGAGCCGAGATCGCGCCACTGCACTCCAGCCTGGGCGACAGAGCGAGACTCCGCCTCAAAAAAAAAAAAAAAAAAAAAGAAGTACATCCCTGAGTTGTTCTACTAATAACCGCCATAGGTTCAAATTGAAGGATCCACCTAGCTAAATGGTACATTACCTGGCTTATAGCAGGTCTTTGATAAGTATTTCTTAAATGTTGAGTGTTGAACTAGGACACGCCTTTTTTGTGTGACAATCAGTCATATTCATTTAAGACAGTCACACTGTCATTAGGGTAAAAAAATACACAGTATAAATGCAATTCTAAAGCAATCTGGGCACAGTGGCTCATGCCTGTAATGCTGGCACTTTTTGGAAGGCCAAGGTAGTAGGATCACCTGAGGTCAGGAGTTCAAGACCAGCCTGGCCAACATAGCAAAACCGTGCCACCACACCCAGCTAATTTTTACATTTTTAGTAGAGACGGGGTTTCACCATGTTGGCCAGGAGGATGTTGATCTCTTGACCTCGTGATCCACCCACCTCAGCCTCCCAAAGTGCTGGGATTACAGGCGTGAGCCACCACGTCCAGCTGAGTTTGTTGTTTTATTTTGTTTGTTTTCCAAATTTGTTACAACGAAACTTTATTAATTTTGTAATAAGGGGGGAAAGTTTTAATTTATTTTAAGGTCTCCATAGCTCCAGATACTAGTTCTACAAATAAAATTAACAGTTTACAATCAGGCAGTTAACAATTTCCTTTAAGTGAAATGACCAAAGGGTAGTCAATTAGAGAAAATAGAATTAAAATTAATACAAAGAATCTTATAGTTCTAGAAATTTGAAAATTTCCCTCGATTTGGGCCAATATACTTATTTTCACTTGGAGGGCTATTCTTGACATTTGTTTTCCAACTAGTCATTCGAGCATACTAACAATACCAAACAAATAAAAAGGAGTTATATTGTAATACTAATATTCATATATTCAAAATCTCTGTATCTTAAACTAATTAGAAACCAGATTTTAAAATATGTATCAACATAAATTTGTTATACATA